GTGAATTGTCTTTTCAGTTGGATTAATTTGATCTTCAGTTCTTAATTAGATACCTGCTTATTGTGTGTCTATTCGAATCCCATTGGAATGATATAGAAATTAAACTGAATAGAAAAGAATAGAAAAGAAACAGTTTTATTTCGATTGTTTCTAAGTTTTTTTTTCAACACAAGATAACCGTATTTTACCTGTAATAACCTCTTACTTTTTTACTGGCCCGGGTTGACCTCGAAATCGAAAATGCTTATCATTCAATTCCATGCATCAAGTGTAAGGAAAACTATTTGTCATACAGTTATCGTACAATTGCGAAAAAAAGATGAAAACTAATTTTTGCGGCTGTTTGATTCTAACAAAACAGCCTGGTGATATGAAAAAATCAAGGTTTTTGTTTTTCGAAAAAAATGTTTATCATACAATTTCCATATAAGAAAATTGTGTGACCAGCATTTTTTTGATGGCGACACAATTTTTTTTTTGTAATTTTTCTTAAGTAATTTTGAAATTGCCCCAAAATTCTTTTCGCTTTTTTTCAAGCACAATTCGAATTTTCAATTTTTTTGTACTAACGTAGTCCTGGATACACTAATGTTGAATTTTTTTCCTTTTTGCTCAATAATTTTTTTTTCAAAAAGGCTGAAAAGTCTTCTATTTCTTAAGAATGGCATACTTATGTATGCCTTGATCAATCATTTAAAAAATCGAATTTTAAAAATATTCATCGCTGAAAATTTTTGCCAAAATTTAAAGGTTGTTACTTTCGTTATATCATTTGTGAACGAGAGCTTTAAAACAATTCTGGTGGTTTTCTTTGCATTATAAATGCAAGACCGTCCAACCTTTGGTGCTTTGAGTACGTATGAAATTATGAAATTATACGCATGTATGAAATTATGATCGATATTTCATACAAATTTCTGTACGAATAGAATTGTATAGTAAAAAATTTTTAATATATGGAAATTGTTTGATAACAAGTTTTGGTCAACCCGGGGGGTTTGTAATTAGATAACAAATTTATACTTTAACTTTTATGACAACTAGAAAACGTAATCGAAAGTTCGGAATAGCGTCCCTCTCAATTTAAAAAATTGTAAACAAGTAAACATAAGCGTGAAATAACTGTGGTAGCACTACTTTGAAAACAATTTTATTGTCCCGACTTTCGATACGAAAGTAACGCAATATTTGTGCTCGGGGTGGGTTTTTTTTTCTTCAGACAAGTTTCGACTTTTTAACTATCCATTTTTGACGAAATTTTTTTTTACATCATTAGAAAGCTATTGTTGTCCTGAGCTTAAATTTGAAAAGATATTGCACCTGTGATCATTTTTCGTAAAGTTATGAGGGTTTAAAGATTGCCATTTTGGTCAATTTGGGTCAATTAACGCGCGATATATTTCGCGCTATTAACGCGTAAGCGGAGAGTTAATCCGTCTTAGAAATCGTTGCAAATTGGTTGGAAGAAGCGTATTTGCCATAATTGATTTGTTACAAGGAGCGAAATTTATCCTTTTGTTCTTAATATGGCGTGTGGGGGGATGATTTTTATAAAAAAAATTTCAAATTTTTGAAGAAAAAAATTTTCATTTTTTTTTTCATTAAATTTTTTCTAATGTTATTACTGCTCCACAAACCTTAGAAGGCAGTCGGAACATTCAGGGCCTCGCCCTGATACGAGCAGTCTTGTTATGATTGTTTCAAGTAAAAAATTTTTTGAAGGTGGAAAAAGTGAAGCCATACTTTGTTACTGTTTCTCAGTTTGAAATCACACGCATCGAATTCATGAAATGACGACTGGCGTATTTGAAATTGAAAATGGTGTGCGGGTGCAAAAAATTAATCGAATACAAACGATAAAGCGAAAACAAATATACCAGAAAAAGCTGATCATGAAATGAGGAGAGCGTGGTAAAAGCCAAAAATGATGACTAACTCGATGATGCTCTGTCGTATATCCTGTATCATATGTTTCACATTCTGGATCTGTTCATTTACTAGTTCTGTCCTGTCGTTGACCACTTTAGTCGGCACACAGTTGTTGTTCGGCCGACAGATCATCGGCCTGGCTGACCCACAGAGTGTCCGAGGGGGGCTACTGCTGCACATCGACAAAGATGGACATACACTCAAGAAAAAAACATTGTTTATAAAATGAAATAATCAATTTTTGGCTCTTTGCCTTAATCCCCCCTTACCACAACAAATTATATTCTTTCCCATTATACTTACTTGACCTCTAGCTTTAGGTATACAATAGGTTGACCAATTTTGGCTGCAATAGTGGTACCACGTGAAAGTTGTAGACGCAAAAAAATGGCCTTCAGTCGCAGCAAAAAAGAGCTTCGCTCAGGAAAATAACAGTCTAAAATGTGAGAAATAATACAACGGACAGGCAGGCGCGGATCTAGGAATTTCTCGAGGGGAGGGCGAATTTTCAAAAAAATGTTGCAAATTTTTTCGACCTTTTTTAGGGTCGACGAAATTGATTTTCTGAGCTCTCCAAAACCACTATAAAGACCCTAATTTGACAAAATTTTCTGCGCTGCAGGCAAATTTTTGAAAAAGGCCAAAAAAAGGCGTTTTAAGGCACTGTATGGAAAATTTCGACCAAAAAATAGCGTGTTTTCGGCGCCCGCTCCCCCCTTAAAATTAGTATAGATTTAGTTAGTCAGCCAAAAATGGATAGAACAAAGGGGGACCCTAAAATAGTACAAAGGGTGACCCCCCGACCCCCCCCCCCCCCTAAATCCGGTACTTTGGACAGGCCTCTCAAGGCCTACTGATAGCTCCTCTGCAATTCGCAGGAACCACGTTATTATTATTATATATTTTTGTTCCGACTTTCGATACGAAAGTAACGGAATATTTGTGCTCGGGGTGGGTTTTTGTTCCGACTTTCGATACGAAAGTAACGGAATATTTGTGCTCGGGGTGGGTTTTTTTTTCTTCAGACAAATTTCGACTTTTTAACTAGCCATTTTTGACGGAATCTTTTTTTATCAATCGAAAGGTATTGTTGTCCTGAGCTCAAATTTGAAAAGATATTTCACCTGTGATCATTTTTCGTAGAGTTACGGGGGTTTAAAGGTTGCCATTTTGGCCAATTCGGGACAATTAACGCGCGGTATATTTCGCGCTTTTAACGCGTAAGCGGAGAGATAATCCGTCTTAGAAATCGTTCCAAATTGGTTAAAAGAAGCTTATTTGCCATAATTGGTTTGTTACAAGGAGCGAAATCTATCCTTTTGTACTTCATATGGCGTGTGGGGGGATGATTTTCATAAAAAATTTGAAATTTTAGAAATTTTTTTTTCATTTTGTTTTATTTCATTGAATTTTTTTAAAAGTTATTACTGCTCCATAAACCTTAAAAGGCAGTCGGAACATTCAGGGCTTCGCCCTGATACGAGCAGTCTTGTTTTTTTTTCTTCAGACAAATTTCGACTTATCTAGACATTTTTGACGGAATTTTTTTATATCATTCAAAAGGTATTGTTGTCCTGAGCTTAAATTTGAAAAGATATTTCACCTGTGATTATTTTTCGTAAAGTTATGAGGGTTTAAAGATTGCCATTTTGGCCATTTTGACCAATTTGGGACAATTAACGCGCGATATAATTCGCGCTATTAACGCGTAAGCGGAGATTTATTCCGTCTTATAAATCGTTCCAAATTGGTTGAACGAAGCTTATTTGCCATAAATGATTTCTTACAAGGAACGAAATCTATCTTTTTGTACTTTATATGGCGTGTGGGGGGATGATTTTCATAAAAAATTTCAAATTTTAGAAAAATTTTTTTTCATTTTATTTAATTCAGTTAATTTTTTTAATGTTTTTACTGCTCCATATACCTTAAAAGGCAGTCGGAACATTCAGGGCTTCGCCCTGATACGAGCAGTCTTGTTAATATTATAGTCTATCAAGCCTGGAAGCAAAACTAGAACGCCCTCCACACTTATGTTTTACTCTTATTAGGGGCTATAAATTTCTAGTGAGTGCATAATGAGAAAGAGCTAAACAAAGCCTTCTTTTTGCTATTCTTAGAAATTTTTTAATTTAATTGTCTGGTGCGAAAAGTCGGATAAGCACTTTGTTAACCTAGAAATCAGTCAGTAATTTATTTGCATGGACTGCTGATTAGCAAAGCGTTGATTAACTAGAAGTTGAAACCATTGTTCGTTTTTCCTTTTCTCACAAGAGCTGAATTGAGTTACTAAGAATTTTCACAAAATTTTAGGAGCTATTTTGAATAACTTCAAGTCTCAAGTTTCTCAAGGGGCACTTAGCATAGTGGTTAGGCGTTCACTTTAGAATCGTCAGATCGTGTAATCGATCACATGCCATGGCAATGATAGTGTGAGGACGAGCTCTCACTTGACCTCTAGCTTCAGGTCTACCACAACCTGACCAAATTATGCTGCAATAGTGGTACCACGTGAAAATTCTAGACGCACAAAAACCGTCTTCAGTCGCATAAAAGAGCTTCGCTCTACGAAATAACACAGTCTCGAATGTGAGGAGATAATAAAAATGGACTATCTTCGACAGGACTGTTAAAGTCTACTGATAGATCCACTGCGATTCGCAGGAACTACAAATTGGCTCTTTTTCCTCCCCCCCCCCCCCCCCCCACCTCACTCAAACATGAACTTTATGGTCTAACGAGTGGTTTTATAAAGTTAATTATGATGACCAAATATGCTTGTTATGGCCTAATTAGTCTGCATGTCAATTTTTACGACAATCGGACAAAGTGAACAGTAACTTCAAATATAAAAATTTGCAGGTGGGGGAAAAAAGGAAAAAGAGCCTTCTCATTTTATTTTTTTTCAGGGCTCTTAACCATTTTAGCCCGCCAACTTAGTTTAAAAAAGTAACCCCACAATCGGCAAATCAAAAAGTAGACGCGCTGTGTGAAAATATAGCCCCATTGAAATAATGCCACAGCAAATTGTAGACTCCCCTCACCAAAAAGCAAATTCAGTATGTGCGGTTTCTGCATTTTATGGACGCATACATTCCTTGGGCTCTAGTTTCAATGAGGGTATAATCTCACAAACAACATCTTGTTATGGATATGTTAAAAAGTTATTTTCATCTGTGCATTTTAGAATGTCCATCCCTGCAAATAGTGCCAGTTCTGCACGTAGAAGGCGGAGGAGTGTAATGCGTTATATAGTGCCAGAGAGTGTTCACGTCGCGAGAGGCAAAAAACCTCTCCGCCAAACGAGGCGGTGTCGCTGGCTTGCAACATGCAGCAGGGGGACAGTCGCAAGGCTGACTACATTGACCTCCTTGACCTTCAGTGCCTTGACCTTGACCTCCCTGACCGTGAGTATGGCTATGATTTTGACCACCTTGATTTTGACTTTCACTTTGACCGTTTGGGTATCCTTGCTGAGACATTTGACCATTTTGACCATCTTGACTCATGTTTGCATTTTTGCCGTCTTTGGACTTCGCTCCTCCTAATTTTACAAGAACAAATTGTGAATTGAGAACAATGGCAGTCGGTTATTGAGCAAGTGAAGTGGTACGGAATGTTTCAAAAACAGTAATTTTGAAGAAAAAAAAAACATTTCAATTTTTTCAGATTCATTTTTGAGTTTTTAAAATTCGGTTTTGCTTTATTCGGTTGTGGGATGCTAGGAGGCAAGGATGCTAAGTGAAGCTCCAGGATATCTTGAATAATTTATTTAATCTAGTCTTTCCAGTTTTTCTAATCTTTTTCTTCAAAAATTGTTTCTAAATTTGGTTATTGTTCCAACTTTCGATACGAAAGTAACGGAATATTTGTGCTCGGTGTGGTGTGGGTTTTGTTTTCTTCAGTCAAATTTCGACTTTTTAACTAGCCATTTTTGACAGACATTTTTTATACCATTCAAAAGGTATTGTTGTCTTGAGCTTAAATTTGAAAAAAATATAATTCACCTGTGAGCATTTTTGTTAAGTTGTGTGGGTTTAAAGATTGCCATTTTAGCCAATTTGGGACAATTAACGCGAGATATATTTCGCGCTGTTAACGCGTAAGCGGAGGTTTAATCCGTCCTAGAAATCGTTCCAAATTGGTTGAAAGAATCTTATTTGTCATTGTTATAATTGATTTGTTACAAGGAGCAAAATCGATTCTTTTGTACTCTATGTGGCGTGTGGGGTGATGATTTTTGCAAAAAAAAATCAAATTTTAGAAAAAATTTTCCATTTTGTTTTATTACATTTAATTTTTTAATGTTATTACTGCTCCATAAACTTTAAAGGCAGTCGGAACATTCAGGGCTTCGCCCTGATACGAGCAGTCTTGTTGTACTATCACTGTCGAATATGCGTAATCTCTAGTTTTTTGTTCAGCTCCTTTTGTCACACCACGCTGCAAAAAAAACAATCTTAACTTAAAAAAAACCTTTTTTGTTGTAATTTTAAGACTATGGTCTGAACATTCTGTGCTACTTGCACAGTAACCGGCTGTCATTGCTTCTTTCTACTCTTTTGTTCATTATGTTTCAGTTTTGGCCATCTTGATTCGAAGTCTGCAGGGCAAAAACTCAGGCTTGTTTTTCTCCATAAAACATAGGGAGGGAGTGGGCAGAATCGTAGTTTTCTATAGGGAAGAACATACTTCACCTTCCATCGGACTCCTGAATTAGTCAGCGCGCACCGAGAAAAATCGAAAAAAAAATGCCATAACAAAAAAAGAGCATAAGCAAAGTTATAGACGTTTACTCCCAGTGTTCATAATAAGGACATTTTGCATGTATATTTTTCTCCAATTTCAAATAATTTTGTTCTAGTTCAGAGAAATGCTTAAAATGCAAAAAATTACACTTTTTAAAAATTTACTACGCACTTTTGGTGATAAGATCTATTGAAATTTTCATTGAAAAATTAATTCCATTAGCTGTAGAAGAGTTCGAGAAAAAAATTGTCCAATTTATGAAAATACTTTTTTGTTTAAATCAAAACCACTAATATGTGTTTCGTAAAATGGTTATAAACTAACTTAATGATAATTGAGGCAATAAAAACCTGAAGAAAATGCTAACGCAATTTATTAGATTTCCCTCAATTTCTGAGTTGTTGCAAGAAAAACAAAATACAACATGGGCCAATCATTTTGAAACAATAATTATCGCTCACCTTTCTTGGCAGGTTTCTTCATGTTCGGAAGTGGAGTTCTCTTCGGCTTCTTCCCAAATAAATCTGGGATACAATCTGAAATAATTAATCTGAAATATATTCTAGATTCAATTGCTAGCTCGTCGGAGATTTCGGAGAGCCTGTAACTTTTATCACAAACTTTAGTTTTACTTTTTCCGATTATTTTGGTTATTTTGAAATTTGGTTTTCTTAATAATACCCAGATCCGATCACACTTTGCCCTCATACACGACCTTTCAGTATCAATGGGTGTAAGAAAATCATTTTTTTGTCGATAATGTGGGCGACCTATCTATCTGCCTACCGCCGTGGTATTTCTCTATGTCACAGTTGTCGTCTGGGTCGTGCAACTTTTCTATGCTGGCTGGGTCTGCTATTGCCGATCCCCCCTGACTACTCGCATTGTCATTCTCCTGGAGATTTATTCCAGAATGGCTTAGGTGGAAATCTAGAATAACGCAAAGTCTGTATTACAGCTGAAATTGTGATGGTTTATTTGCAATATTTCTAATAAAAGAAGAACTATGGGATCTCTTTAACTATATCCCCCTTTTGCAAGGGGGATCGTTCTTAGGCATAAAACTTCAAATGCTTAACTTTTGATTTATTGTTCCGTCTTTCGATACGAAAGTAACGGAATATTTGTGCTCGGGGTGGGTTTTTTTTTTCTTCAGACAAATTTCGACTTTTTAACTAGCCATTTTTGACGGATTTTTTTTTATATCATTCGAAAGCCATTGTTGTCCTGAGCTTAAATTTGAAAAGATATTTCACCTGTGATTATTTTTCGTAAAGTTATGGGGGTTTAAAGATTGCAATTTTGGTCAATTTGGGACAATTAACACGCGATATATTTCGCGCTATTAACGCGTAAGCAGAGATATAATCCGTCTTATAAATCGTTCCAAATTGGTTGAACGAAGCTTATTTGCCATAATTGATTTGTTACAAGGAACAAAATCTATCTTTTTGTACTTTATATGGCGTGTGGGGGGATGATTTTCATAAAAAATTTCAAATTAAAAAAAAAAAAATTTTAATTTAATTTTTTATGTTATTACTGCTGCTCCATAAACGTTACAAGGCAGTCGGAACATTCAGGGCTTCGCCCTGATACGAGCAGTCTTGTTGTTCCGACTTTCGATACGAAAGTAACGGAATATTTGTGCTCGGGGTGGGTTTTTTTTCTTCAGACAAATTTCGACTTTTTAACTAGCCATTTTCGACGAATCTTTTTTTATATCATTCGAAAGGTATTGTTGTCCTGAGCTCAAATTTGAAAAGATATTTCACCTGTGATTATTTTTCGTAAAGTTATGGGGGTTTAAAGATTGCAATTTTGGTCAATTTGGGACAATTAACACGCGATATATTTCGCGCTATTAACGCGTAAGCGGAGAGTTAATCCGTCTTAGAAATCGTTCCAAATTGATTTAACGAAGCTTATTTGCCATAATTGATTTTTTACAATAGCGAAATCTATCTTTTTGTTTTTTATATGGCGTGTGGGGTGATGATTTTTATAAAAAATTTCAAATTTTTGAAAAAAAAATTTGACATTTTGTTTTATTACTTTTATTTTTTTATTGATATTACTGCTCCATAAACCTTAATGGGCAGTCGGAACAATCAGGGCTTCGCCCTGATACCAGCAGTCTTGTTTCTTTATAGGGGGGATATTCGGCTCTTTTCCAGTTTCCGATCCCCTCGTAAAATTACATAATAAAGCTGTTCAAAAATTGTTCACAAGACAATTTGCTCGTAAGAAAGATTGTAAAAGTTTGTTCACTTGTTCACGCTGACACGTTTTAATGCAGTTTATAACATGAGATATCATTTTAAAAAGACCTTCATATTGTAAATTTCAGAAAAAATTAATGGAGGAACTGGAAAAAGAGCCAGAGCCGGATATTCGTTACTAGGTACCCGAGGGGGGAGATATAGTTAAAGAGATCCGAATTTTGAAGCATCTTTCTCTTTTCAGTTTGTGTCAGGTGTTCCGCGAACAAACGATGATGCAAAAAATGCAAAAGTAGTCCGAAGATTAAACAACCAGGTACCATGCTTCCAACCATCCCAAGGAGGAGAGGCTCTCTTCCTCCGCAGAGATCTGACCTTCTCATCACCCAAAGGATCGTATCTTTGGTACGATTCTACGGCATCCATTTCTTGCGCCAATACTAACTTTGAGTGGGAGCGCACGACGGAAAAATGCAATTTTTTTTTGATCAAAATCTTCCAAGAAGGGCCTAAACACATCATTTTATCATTTTTTTTAAATTCTTTGCCTGCGGCACAGAAAGTTGGGCCTTTTTCCATTTACCTTGAAATGTGTTCACAATGGTTTTTTTGTTGACCATGCAAAATTTAAATACATTATGACAACGGAAAAAAATAGTTTATCAAAAGTCAAATGTGCAGAATGGGGAGTGAAGAGCCAAATTTGGTTAAAATAGGGCCTGTATTGTATTTTGGGAGAGATAAAAAATGGTTAAATTTTTCAGTTTCCCAACCCCTCTCCCCCTCTGTAAGGCAACGAAGTAAAATTCTTTATAAGTTGCGTTCGAACGGCATTTTGCATGTAAAAGATGTTTTAAAATTTTGTTCACTGGTTCACGTTGTCGTTTATTACAGTTGGAAATTTCAAAAGTTACTTTAAATAGACTGCTTTTGTAAACTGGTTATTAAAAAGTCTAAGGAGGGGGAACTGGAAAAAAGCCAATAAAATTGGTTGACTTATTATACTTGAGAAAAAAATAACACAACCAAACAATTTTCAAAACTCATTAAAAAATCCCTGAGAAAGCTTGTGATAAAAAAAATCAGTTCTTTCCCTGTAAAAACAAGACGTTAGACACTCATTTTTGTCTGATGCATGATTTGCAACAGGAAAAAACTGAAATCTGACTGACTTTTAAACTTTTACGACAAAGATTAGCGCTCGCTGTTTAGAGAGGGAACACTTCCTGCGTTTTAGAAGCCATCAACTCTCAGCTGACTAGCTACTGACTTCAATCTTTTAACCAACTCTTCGCCTTTTTTAACTATCTTGTATTAAATACATTGTTTTTAATTTTGAAAACAGATAGTGAGCCCCTTCCATCAAAGGAACAAAACTCGAACAATTTGATCCGGAAAAAGCCTTAAATGCTGAAAATTTTCATTTTATTTTTTAAAAGATGCAACTTCACATCACGTTTTCTCAATCGGTTTAGAAAATTTTGCAAGAACTGCTATAAACCTTCAATAAAAACTTCGAAAAATGAACTTATTTTGAATAATTTTTGAATTTCCCAATTTTTTTTGTGATTTTTTCAGATAAAAACTAGGTATATCACTATCTAGGGCACAAACTAACACAGCAGTAACCAAATTACTTGGTCTTTTTTAAAATCTCTCATTTTTTGTTTTTGTTTTCTGTAGTTGCATTACTTTTTTCTCCAGTATACAATAGTCGATAAAATTTGAAAGGCGGGCCCTCCTCTAGAAATTTCTAGATCCGCCCATGCTACAATCAGAATATTCATGACTATAATGAATCTTTAATTTTTTAAATTTACCTTAAACTTTTTAAAATAACTCTTGGATTATCAGAGGTGCCATCTAAACAGCATTTTTTTCCAAAATGAGTTAGATTTGAGAAAACACTGAAAAATTTGAGCACGCTTGATACTTTTTGTCAAGTTTTTTGCAGTTTGGCTCTTTTCCTTAGATTTGAGAAAACACTGAAAAATTTGAGCACGCTTGATACTTTTTGTCAAGTTTTTTGCAGTTTGGCTCTTTTCCAGTCCCCCCCCCTTTGATTTTTTCTGAAATCTATTAAATGAAACTTTTAAAATGACTTTTGATGTTATAAACTGCATTAAAAAGTGTCAGCGTGAACAGGTGAACAAATTTCTACAACATTTCTAACATGCAAATTGCCGTGTGAACAATTTATGAACAGCTTTGTTTTGTAATTTTACGAGGGGGTTGGGAAACTGGAAAAGAGCCTGCAGTTTTGTCAAACTTGTTGAAACTATTTACAAGAACTGATCAAAAGCCGAATTTGTTTATGAAAGCAAAAAATTGAAAAACACGACAACACCTTACTTCCTGATTGAGATGCTCCCATATTCCCCTGGGACATTTTCTGCTGTGACTGTTTCTGCTGTTGCTGGAATGAGGGTAGTTGCTGGTACTCTTGCTGCTGTTGGTAACCCTGTTGCTGGTCGTAGCCTTGATATTGCTGTTGGTACCTTGGAAACCCTTGCTGATGATGCTGATGTTGTTGATGCCCTGGATACTGTTGTTGTTGAGATTGCTGTTGCCATGATTGGGACTGGTTTTGGCCTCCGTCATATTGCTGTTGATCTCCCCAAGGATATCCCAAATGAGGATACATCTCCTCTCGCTCAGTGGGGTAGAATAAGTAAACACTCTTGGAAGGGGGAGGAGCGCACCAAGGTCTAGGGACACAGGGTGGGGATCCAAGACACCCTGTTGCAGCTCCTCGACAGTTTGGAATTGGACAGAAACAGGATCTGACGCAACCTCTGCAAGCGAAGCGACCGCACCCAGTGCAAGCTCCGAATCCTCGCCTAATTTAAATTTAAATTTTGATACAAAAGATAATAAAATGAAGATCAAAATTATCAATTTGATTAGAACGCGTGTTTAAAGCACGTGTATAATCAATTTTTTGAGATGGCAGCACGATTTGAACAGTTCTTTTCGTTTCTAGCTTAGGGCGCTCATTTTCATGTATGTGTCAAAATAGTTCGAGACGCGTGATTCTCTGGACTACATGAAAAAATTGTTTTTAATTCAAGGTCATTGTAGCTGAAACATCGGTTCTTTTTCCTTTTCCCCCCCACCTGCAATTTTTTTCATGTAAATTTGTTGACCACATTGTCCGATCGTAATGAAAATTTACATACAGACTAATAAGGCCACGACAAACATATTTGGTCTTCATACTCAACCTCGTAAAACCACTCGTTACACTAATATATTGAAGCTCGTGTGAGGTGGGGGGGAAAAGAAAAAGGAGCCGACCACACTTGCTGATCATACCTTTTCCATACATTTTCCGTACAACAGAAAATTGCATAACAGGTCTATGATTAGTAATCGCTCATATATGGAAATTCTATGACTAGAACTTTTCCATAAACCGAAAAAAAAAAGGTTTTTTTTTTATACTATTAGTTTCTTCGCAACATTTTTGAGTCGTGTGAATCTCTTTTCTTTCCGCTACTAACAAAATTTTCAAGTGAACTGTTTGTTCACATTGTCTGATTGCTATAAAAAGCTTCTTGTACAATCACTCGTTACCCCATAAAATTGATGCGAGTGCGAGTGCGAGGTGGAGAGGGGGAAGGTTAAAGATCCGTGTTCGTAACCAACCACAAAAATTCAAGAGGCAAAGACCCTGGATACTTAAAGCTTGAGTCACCAAAAGCTTAAAGGTCTTGAATGTACAATCCAATGGAAGTCACTTTGGTAAAAATTACTTGCACAAACAGTCTCATAAAACATCAAACATATGCAATACAACTAAAAAAAAGCGTTTTTTAAGAAAGTTAACCAGTAAAACGAAAAAATAATGCAATTTTTGGGTATCCAGGACTAGTTTAGCTCGCAAGAAAATTAACTTGGAAATTGCTGGCTTGAAAACAGAACTCATTTTGCCATTTAAAAAAATATGATCAAAATCGAGGCAATTTCAAAAGTAAAACAAGGATAGCCGGTTACTGAAATTACTTTAAAAAAACACGAAACAAGATTTTCAAATTAGTTTCGTCATGAAAAGATTTGAAAAAAAAGAACTTAGGTATATTTGAGTGTCATAATAAAATAGGTCATTTGAAAAAAATTTTTACAGAGAAATGACTAGAAAAACGAGACAAAATTTTAAAAAGTTTTTTAAAAAAATCGAAAAATTGTTTTGCAGAAATTTTTTGAGTTTTCAAGTTTTCGATTCCCAATATTGCGCTAAAAACTACTTTTACTTAATTTAAACTAAGTTTTCTTGGCGTAAATAAGGCTAAAATAAGCTATTGTAAGCTTACACGGTCACCTTATTAGCTCGAATCTAGACCAAAAATCAAAAAATTCAAACCGGTTTTTCTCGACACTGGGAAAACTTCTTTTGGAATTTTTTATTATGGTACGAATCACGACTGTAAGGGCTTTAATATGAAATATCTTTCTACCCAGTCTGATAAATTTTTGTGGCACCTGATTTTGCGTGGAAAACAAATGAAAAAAAAACTGAAACACACCCGAATACAAAGTTCTTCCCGATTTCCATTCTTCGGAACAAAAACATATGGTGTCGCCATCACAGAGTGCTGGTCACACAAATTCTATTTATGAAGTTTGTATGACTATGATGCCTGTGCCAACAAAACATTTTTTCTCCATGATATTGCTACAGCAAGAAAAAAATTCTTTTTAAATTTGATTGAACCATTTTAGCTAATTGCTTAAAAACAGTACTTTCAGTTTATTTCAAAGACTTGTCTTTTCGAACTGCATAGATTGCCTCTTTTTCTGTGGAGGTCAACATGCGTGCTTAATTAGGACTTTTTAAAATTTACTAGCTACATTACAACAGTATAGTAATTTCATATATCATATAGTAAATTGTTTACTATACAAGTAAAAATCGAATTTCGCCTACCAAAATTTCTCTTTCAGAAAGACCCCAGTAAGTTTATTCAAAATTTTTTGAAAACTATTTTGAAGGTTTTTGCAGTTTTTGTTCGTATGGAAAAAATGCTTACCATACAATTTTCACCAATGGAAATTGTATGATGAGCGTTTTTTCAATAGATTCCGTTGATAGAATTGTATGACAAGCATTATTTTTGTTTGGACGTCAGTTCGGGATGCCACTAAAAGTGTTGTTTTTTTTTCAAATTTGAAAAAAATGATAATGGTTGAAAAGGCGGTTAATTTTCCTGTTGCATTATAAAACTCGATTTTTGATCCGAATTTTGATCAGAAAAAGGTTTAAGGAATACTAGCTTCAGATGGGAGGAGACAGTGGGAAAACAGCATCATTATTTTCTCACAGTGGCCTTCCGGGTGGCTGGTAGTCCTTGTCGAAGTCTCCCCCGAAGTTGTTGTCCCACTCCGGTCTGCCCCCATCCCCTCCGTCAGAAGTGCCCCCGTGGGTGGATGGTCCCCCTGAAGTGCCTGTGCTTATACCTGTGCCCTCAGTTCCAGTCTCAGTGCCAATGCCCTCGTCACCTGTTCCTAAATTCACAACCTAAATTGATATTTAATAAATGGTAAAATGAAATAGATTTCCATTACGAAAAAACTGATAAGTATGTTAATAGTTTTTTGGACAACGCAAATTTCTTTAGTCATAGTTCCGAAAAAAAGAATCCTAAATGAATCTACAATGCTCTTTCCTTCAAACAGTCAATCATCAAACGAGATGAGAAACAAATCAAATCAACACAATCAGATTTATCTGTGACGTGCGGCTTTGAGTGTTCTTAGTCTATAAAACTTGAAATGAATATTGATTAACCTGTGCTAGGTGGTTTGAAGCTGGGTGTTGTTGGTTTTTTCGTCGAATGGTCGTGGTCCGGAACACAATCTAAAAAACTACCTTCTCAAAAACTTCTATGGAGAAAAGGGCTCTTTTCCAGTTCCCCCCCCCCCCCCCCCCTTCAAATTCAATTTTGAAAATTCTATTTAACGTTGTCACAATGCAATGAAATTTGGCGTGGTGAGCAAATTGAGTTAGGACTGGAGGGTAACTCATAGAGTAATTTCGGATAGGGTACACCGTCTGCTCGTCACGCTATCTTATTTTCGGCCGGATAGATTCGTGCAACTTCTTAGTCTAATACCGATCCTAATCTTACTCTTATACTATCTAGTCTCAGGTTGTTTAACTAGTCTCTGCTAGGCTCAATAGATCTAGGGTATACTGGTTTATTGCGGCTGCTGAAGTGCTCGGGAGAGTCCAACTAATTTCTAAGTTAAATTCAAATCTCTCTGGTGCTGAAATTACAAGTAACTTCAGCACTTACAAATAAGTGGGTTGTTAGTTAGATGGATCATGATTGGTTAATATTAAATACTTTACATTGGTAAAACATTTAATTTATCCAATCATAAAATATAGTTTAGATCAGGTTCCACCCATCCGGGTTTTACAGTGTTTTTTAGAACAGTTCTTCTGTAGTTCAAGGATGGATGATGGACGTTGGTATTTGGCGAACATCACAATTTTCTTTCGCTTCTCCTTGTGACAACGACTGAGTCTTTGCAACAAAACCAATTCTGATTTCAGAATGGTTGGCTATGTCAGGTTTTTCTGTTCTTCAGGGAGAACTTCCTTTGTGTCTGATCTAGCTTGGGAATGGCGTGGAGATTGTGCGTGGAGGGGATGCCTGATTACTCGGATCTGTACGTATACTTGAACATCGAGGTGGTCATTGGTCTAGTTCAATGAAGTCCTTTTCTGCGAAGTCAAGTCGTACTCTAAATCCTTTGAGTTGTGATTGTGAGTGGCATATCGATTGTAGTTGGTCATTCTCTCTCGAGTGTAGTGAGGTCGTCTTGTCTTTTGATGTTCGTCCTTGGTGTTGTATTCTGATCTATATATTGCATCATGTGATTTTACATTTTATAAAACTTTTATTAGTTTAATATTTTTTAATCATGATTTTAGTTAGTTGTTTTCACAAAAGCTTTTTGTTTTAGTTCGGTTATTTTGAAGAGTTACTCACCCTTGAGTAGCTCTTATTAAAAATAAAGGTGTGGTCACAAAGCGTGGATGTAGCGCGGTGGGTTAGGCCGGCTATAGAGCATGCTCAGGACGTCCTTTCCTGGTGGGTTAGGCCAGGTGTGGGAGTATGATTTCATGCGGTTTTTGTGAGGGGTCCTGTTATGTGACAACGTTTTATGTTGGGTTTGTTGTGGTTTTACTTATGTTTCTTTGGTTGTGTCCTTTTTTCAAAAATCAAATTGTTTGTGGTATGGGTTTGTCTTTCGACTTTTTTGTGTTTTATTATTTCTTTCTAAGACTTTATAATAGTCTTCAAAAGAATAATTTATCCAGTTTTAAACTGGGTTAATCCGGTTTGGGTACCGTTGGTTTCCTTTTCTTAGTCATGCTGTTATTCTATGATTTGTGGTATTTAGTAAGCTGCGTTGGTTAGTTTTGTTTAGTATATGATTTCTCTCCAACCGGGTTAAAGGAAAGTTTGAAACTTGTTATCGTGTGTTAGAGTTATTGAGTGTGAAAACTTGAAACTGAAATTCATTATTTTAAACAATTCTTCGTGGGCGAGCTGTGCGAGTGTGGATAGAATTTCTGTGCGAGTGAATGAAAATATCAAAAGGTTAGTACTGCAATTGCATTTTATTAATTTACTGCATAGAATTTGGAAATTTACTGCTAGTAATGGGGGAATTTTAAGATACAAATTTTCATCATATGTAGATTTACTGCTTTTGGGGGAAAATTTTATAAATTAATTTACTGCATTGGTATTAAATTTATAAAGTTATATGTGTAAGAGATTAATAGAATTTTTGAAATTTGTTTGATGAAATTTGCAATTTATATTTGTCTTTTGTGGTTTTTGTAGGTGATCGTCGGA